GTAAATACATAAGAACGTCGGAGCAAAAGGGTTAAAGTTATGAGGAATGCATTTATAAAGTAATATCTCGATAAATAATAATAAAATAATAATAAAAGTATACAAGTATAATAATAATAAAAGTATTAAAGTAATAAAAGTAATTAAGTAATATACAATATAATAAAAAATCTAATTAAAGAAAAATAATAATAAAGTATATAAGTAAAAATTTTAAAAGTATATAAAGAAAAATAATAATAAAAGTATATAAAGTAAAAAAAATTCTAAACATAAAATAATAAAAAATAAAGAAAAATAATAATAAAAATACATAAAGAAAAATAAAAAAAATACATAAAGAACAATAATAATAAAAGTATATAAAGTAAATCGAAGCTCTAATGCGAAACCCATTTAGATAATGGCAGCAAAGTTCAGTTCATCAGTTAATTGAGGCCTAATAAAATGACGCTGTAAATGCTGGCATTAAGCCTGCAATCTAACAGTACAAATCAGGTAAACAGTATAAGAAAATGTACATAAACAGTGATGTAAACCGTTTCCATCAGTTCGATAGAATAGAAATAGTCCTTGGGAAACATTTTTAAGAAGGAAAATTTAGCTAAGTTAGTCTTATATGCTCTAACAGCAGAAAGAGAAGCAACATTCATTATAAAGCACCTGCGTCAAATAGAAGATAGCAAGGAGGTGAGGAATACGAAAGAAAGAAAGAAAAAAAACTCACTTGCAAAGAAAAGTAGCATAGACAAACCAAAAAAATTATTTAAAGGCGGGAGGGAAAAAATCTTAAAAGAAGTTCGCAAAGCAAACTGTGATATAAAATAATCTTCTTATTTTGAAAGTTTCCAGAAAAGTCCAATATTTCTGCATCAGTAAATATCAAAGAAATAAAAATAAGCGTTTACAATTCATTCTCTTCCTCCACAGCCTTTCCCCCCTTTTTCTTTGGCTAATTCTACATTGACAAAAACTGTGCACATTCAGCTGTCATGAAACGATATTAGTACATGACTCTGAGAGGAGAATAATGCTGAAAGCATCGCTACTGAATGATGAACATTAAAGTTTACAAGCAAAGTTTGAGTTTACTATGAAGATAAAGTAGCATTATTGTCTTCTTCAGCGCCGCTGTGCAGCACAAAGAAATCTTTGAAAGATTAATGTTAAAAATGAATGTAATAAATGAATAAAACCTGTAAGGAATTTTCTGCTTGCTTACCGCGCCATGTGTAACTTGTATACGAGATAGTTTCCCTTAAAAAGTCCTCCACGAAGGCATCCCTACCTTAAGGCAGATAGCCCTCGAATGCTTTGCCGTAATCTAATAAACCAAACCAGCTTGCTTACCGCTTGCTTTTGTGGTGTAATCTGAAGCACACGCAACTATTCGGAGTTCGAATCCTGGAAGGACAGTAAAGGGGCCCCCGAAGTAAAATATGATGGACTGCAGTTTGTCGCCACTTGCATTTGACCACTGAGTCTCCTACCCAGTCGCCTTTTATGTGAGGAGGAATGAAAGGAATTTTTCTCGTTCCTTACCATACGATTTCATGGCGTACATGGAAGCACGTCCATCTAGCAATCGGGAAGCCGCAGTTCGAATCCTGAAAAAAGTATTGCCAATTTTTCATGTTTCTTGCTCTGAAATAAACCTAATGACATGTTTTATTTCATAATGTAATTATGTGATGAATTCAAATTAAAAACGAATATGAAATTTATTTAAGATCAAATGATATCACATTAGCATTTATTTCCTTTTTTACTCAGTAGTGTGATATAAGAACTACAACTGCATGAGCATAATCAACATCTACAACAGTACAGCCCAAGGTTCAAGTCTTATGAATTTTGCCGTTTTTTTCCCCTTTAATTTAAATTTGTAATTAATTAATTTGTGAGGTTTTATTTGATCTGATAAAATTTCATTAGTCCAGAACCTCTAACAGACGTGAAGAGACTTATCGCTGTGCCTGAAAGTAATTATAAAGTCAGGGAAAGTTTTAAATAAACCTTTTTATTTAAAAAGAACTTAGAACATAAATGCGCGTTCTTGTGCTAACAGTATCAACCGCAGTTCGTGGTGAAGTAACTAAAAAGAGTAATCAGTCAAGCTAAAACGTATAATAGTAGCCAAAGACTATACAGTTAAAATATACTCTAAACTGAGTAACTCTACTGGCGTATCAAGTGTCGGCAGCGATATAACGCAAAGCCGAATAATTACAACTTATCAGAGCTGTTAGGAATAGAGCAGGCCAGAAACACTCTGTTTTAAAATCCAAACACCTCAGTTTAAATGATTGTTAACTCACTTACATTTTAGTGAGGAAACAGAAAGGAGAAGTTATAGTAAATGCTGAAATTATAAATAACTGGTTAATTTAAATAATAACCTTATAAATGAATTTAATTAAACTATTAGCTCGTTGTTAATAATAATGCCTATTTACTATTATTTCATAATTCTAATATTTCTTCCAAGACTTTCCTTTCTCTCCCTGTTTTTTGCCTTCCCTAGAACAATTACATATAAGTAAGTTACGAGAATTTACACTCAGTTCATGCATTCAGTTAGCGAGTTATCATCCGCAAAACTAAATGTTTGCAAAAATCAGTTTATGCTATAGGTTTTTGTGCTTTGTTTTGTTTGTTTTGTTTTTTGTAAATTTAGGAAAGGTTGTTGCTTTATTCGTTCTAATTTTTTTCTAAGCGCTAGGACTCTTTTTTGGTGGACCGAAAAACTTTAAAATCACCCTTTCTGATCCACAAAATCTAAATCTCATTCCTGATGGTTCAAATGCTCAGTTTTTCATTCGGAAAATCAAGACTGTTGCTTATGCCCAAAATCACTTGTGTTTTAGAAATTTATTTGATGGCAGAAGATTCAGGGTGGAATTTCTTTCGAAAGTGACTAATTTTGTGGACCGTTTTTTTAAGAAACATTTGCTTCTACTTTTTCTAAAATATCCAATATCCAGAAAAAAAAAAAAAAAAAAAAAAAAAATTAAAATTGAGGGCAACATTGTTTTGGGATGAAGATAAGTTAATTTTGATTGATTTTGTATGGAGCTGCTCCACTATTAAAGGGAGATATCAGACCAAACTGAAAATTGAAGGCCTTAGAAATGTTATAAAAGGGAAGCCATGGAAAAAGGAGAGATGAGTGTAAGTAGCGAGAGACTCAGGACAAATCATTCCACAAGATGACTGTATGGTTGTAAACAAATCGTAGCACAGAATATATAAGTACATTAGTATAGAGGGTGATCTTGTAAAGAAATTATAGTGAAAACCTCTACAGCTCAAGCATCCTTTTCACTCTAAAATCAGCTATATACAGTTTTCTGTTTTGTTTTGTGTGTAATAATCACATTCATCCATCAAATAAAAACTGACGAGAAGTGCACGAGTACTGTCTGATTAAGTGAAAGGAAGATAATCGTCACGTACTTTCTAAGGGAAAATCTTTCTTATTTATGTTATAATCCTATAAACAGAGCATGATAAACCACGAAAGCCAAACAAGCAGCCAGTTGTCTGACTCAAGCTCCGGCCGAACTACCAGCATTCAATAATCTAACCATCTCGGCAACTGGCGGGGCCGACGCATTATTTGGAGTAATGAAGTAAGATGCCAGAAAATATTATGCTATTCTCATAATGTAACTTTATATTATTTTACAGCAGGTTAAGCAGAAATTCATCAGTGGCAAGCATGCAGGAGGTGCGGCGCCCCAGGGGAATTAAAAATATTTTGTTCCTCATCTTAGAGACAACTGTCAAGTCAAAGTGTTATATTCAAACTGTGTGCATTTTGTGGCTGCAATAAAACGCCTTCCCCCCTCTTTGAAGGTGAAGTGTGATTATTTTGAGGTCACGTTTGCTGTATTTAGATTAAAACAAAATCCAAACTGTAAGCTGTTTTAAAGTATGCATATTAGCTGTCATATTTTTATGAAATAGGCAGAAAAGGGTAATGTTTATTTTCGCAAATTATATGCATTTTTATAAAAGAGTTTACTTTTCACATGCTAGTGTACTGATATTTGTTTACGGTTTATCTCGATGCTAGAAACGAATTTTTATTCTTAGATTTCGAAAGTTAGTAGTGTCAGAGCCCTATGAAAGATGATTAAGAAAGTTAAATAAAAACAAAGAAATAAAATAATAGAATATGACTATTTGAAAATAAATAAAGAGTAAATTGATAGAACAAACAATAAATTATGGTATTGGTAAAAAAAGTTAATCATTAAATCAAAATACAGGTATAAGTATAAATGGATAGGACACCAGAATTTCATCATCGGCTGTACACTAACTCCAGGCGGCCGCACTTTAATTGCAAAATTTGATCTTAACTGAAGCTTCGGCTTGAATTACGATTGTACTCAAAAGCTGAAAAGTGCCGAAACTGTGTAGTTTTTGATCAGGGTTTCTCAGCCAGGGAGTAAGTCCCCCAAGGGAGAATTTCATAGTTTCAGGAGGGGATACGATCGACCCTTGTTGTTCAATATTTAGTTTTTGTTTATGAATTAAAAAAAAAAAAACCACTTATTTGTGTTTGTAAAAGTTTTGGTATTTATGAATATTTTCAGTCATTTTTGTTCTATAATTGATAAAACACGTTAAAAATAATCTAAATAAATGTATGATATATTTTTCAACTTTTAGAAACGAGGGCAGAAAGGGGTGCATGAGAAAAAAAAAGTTTGAGAACCTTTATTCTAGGCTATCTCGAAGCATAAGAATTTGTAGATAATCATCAGCAAAGCAAAAGAGACGTAAAATGTTATATTCCCTACCCCTATTTGAATTATAAACAGATACTAATCCTAAGATTTTACGTTGGCGTTTATAAGAAGGGTGTTAAGAATTTGACGAAACGATACAACTAAAAAAGTCACCAGGCATCGAAAGTACATTACGTAATAGCTCCTGCGTGCGTCCCGTGGATCACGTGACTGGCAAGTTCGCGGAAATCTGAACTTTCTATTCGCTGACTTCTAAAGAGACAACTTTGAAAGGGAGGAACTGCGATATCCATTGTTGAAAAACCTTCCTATTGGAGATGGCTTTCGTTGTAATGTCTTGATCGCATTAACGTACGCTCGTGTCAACATGCCTCGAAGTAAGATACCATTGATTAGATGTTATAATCGAAAAATTAAAATTTGTAGGTGTTCTATTTTTTTGGAACGCGGTTTTATTGCTTTCTGCAGTCTAAAATAAGTCGCTGTAATATTGCGTCGTCTGCACGTCTTAAGTTGTATTTATTTATTATTTTTTTGCATTATTTTGTTGTACTTCGCTGGCGTCATTACTGTGTAATATTGTTTTAGTGGGAATTATTTTTGTTTTGATAGTATTTAATTAATCGCATGCGCTTTTTTAATAGCTTGTTAAATTTTATGCTTTTGAAGTATTCTTCTTATTGCATTATTATACTTTCCAGCAGTAAAGTGTTAAAATTTCCTGATATTGGGAAATGAAACTTTAGATTCTTCTGATGCCCTGTCCAGCTTAAGAATATTTTTTATCTGTATATGATGATTTAAAAGTGTGCATGCATGCTCCTTGTTTTTGTAGGTAGTTCCCTGCTCTACTACGTCCTTTATCTTAGCATAGGAATTATATATCCCGCATATTGCTCGTAAGTGCTTTATAATTATTTTATAATTAAGTTTTTAAATGTATTTTGTGAAGAACTTATTTAGGTACTTGCTTAATGAAGGAAATTCGATGATACTTTAGAATGCTTAGTGAGTCTATATTGGTGCTTTCATTTTGTGTGCAAAATTTTAAATGTTATTAAGTTATATTTTTGGATGATTAATGGAAGCACTGTTATTAAAACAATGTAATCGTAACTCTTGACTTTGCATTTTTGATTCTTGTAGGTTCTTGGCAATTACAACACCTAATCAAAATGATGATACTGTCTGGTTAATTTATTGGATTGTATTTGCTGTTTTCAATGTCTTAGAAATCATTACAGATTTTCTGTTTTTTTGGATTCCATTGTATCCAGTGTGTAAGGTAATTTCTAATTTTTTATTTTTATTTATTTTTTTAATTTTCAGAATTTGTTATGGAGGGAATATTAAACTACAGTGTTAAGCTTAGTTATGATTAATGTTAAGCTCCATTATGGCTGAGTGGCTAAAGCTGTAGATCCAGTACTTAAAAATTTCCTTCTATTAAGCAGATTGCCCTTCTGTGGGTTGTGTAATCTGTTAAATAAACTAGTTCCTAAATTCAGTCAGATCTCGTCCTGTTACATCTCAGCTGTTGAAATGGGGTAAAAATATATTTCAGGGTGCCCCTTGGTGAAAATTGTCCATTTTTGGCGATTGGCCAGCAAGGCACAATTTAAGGATGGCCACTGCGCAGAGCCAAAATAACCAAAATAACAAGTTAAAGAATTGCGCAAACTCTGTGTCCATGTACACATCGATCTATTTTCACTCAAAAGAAATCGGAGAATTGCACAAATTCGGCATTGCTCTCTCTCCCTTGACTTTGTCCATGTACACATCAATCTATTTTCACTTAAGAAAGAATCAGGAGAATGATGATGTCATATAATGTTAAAACAAAGTTAATCATCACCAAAATTGAACAAAATATGTATAGCTAATTGAAGCTCAATAAACTGCATTTTAAATTGCACAATGAAGTAACATAAAAAAGGAGATGCATATTATCACATATACACACTACAAAAAGGAAATATCGACTTGCCATATTTAGAAATTTGTACGTCTTCAGTCTGTGGCACACAAAATTCCATAACAGCATCCAAAAACTTTCAAAAATTATCTGAACTAGGATATGCATACTGCGGTCACCACATAAATTCACAAAAATAAGAGTCAAAAATATCCTCCATAGTGCCAGACTGTTGATGGCACTTCTTGCATGAACCTTTCTTATGACAAACTCGTTCAAAGCCATCTGAATTATCTTTATGTTCGACCATGCATATTTCCTTCATACAAACAGAACGCTTATAATGACTACTAAGTAAACTTTCACTTACACACCAGTCAATTAATGCTTTTTTCTCCTTTCATTCCAAACTGTATAGAAACTTCAAATTAATCACATCACATATACGCTGTACAGCACCGGCCATTTTATGGTGTACAGCACAAAATAAAGCAATGTACTTCCTAACTGACATCTAACTTAGAAAATAAACCTTTACAAATATTTTCCCATCAGTCAAATTCATCGCAATCGCACAACTAATCACGTCAAAATAGGGTTTCCATAACATTCAACTACTCAGGTTACCATAAATGAAACAACAACTTAGCAATAATCCAAGGGGCACCCTAAAATATAGGCTTTCGGAAATGGTTTTCAGCTTGCCATACTCGGGCAGTAAATGAACTGAGCTTTGACATTTCATTTTAATGAAACTGCATTCTATCAGTAAGAAGTTCTTATTTGTATAGCATTACTTTTAGTAAGACAGGTATTAATTAGTAATGGAATGTATGGCTTATTTTCTGTGTCAAATATAGAATAAAAAATTTAAACCTTGCTGACTTTTGAAAAGAAAAGTATTTTTTCTTAGCTGTGTATCGGATTGGACTCTTCACCTGATCCTGGATTGGTTTTAGGGTAAAATTTTCATTTCGTTAAAAGGGTTTTAAAGGCTGAGAAGTAAGAAAAAGTAATGTCATAAAATGGAAAGATATACAGTGTGTTAACAGTTTCCTCTGCTTCTTTAACCAGCACATTTTTATAGTTTTCCTGTAACTGGTGACTTAGACTATATTTGTTAATTCTCATGTATTGTAACCATAGTGTATATCTCCACCCAAAAAAATTAAGGATTCATAGAGAATTAATTGGTGAAAAATTAGTAATTTTCTGATTGATCAGTATTTTATTGGAGGCTAAAGGTTGCTAAAAATTCTCCATGTACTGTGTTATACCTCTTAGAACATGTAAAAAGAAGTTAAGAACAATTAAGATTGTATTAAAACCTGAAGATTATAGAAGGAACCACTTGCAAATATTTCTTTTTACAGGAATGAAGTGGTTGAACTGCTGAATTAGAAAATCTGAAATGGAAATTCAAGATATTAGTGGTTTCAAAGAAATTACTTCAGGATAGCTCTGGGAAAATATATTTAATACGTAATAATTTTTTTTGGACATACTGGGAGATTTGAGATACTGAGATTTTACCAATACATTAATTATTGTTTTTATTTTAAATGTTTATCATTGATTTAATTATTATTAATAATTTATTATTTTATTTTTTCATTATTGCTGACATAATTTATTTGAGATCTGATTCTCTTAAATTTTAGAATTAAGCCTTGTTTGAAATACTGGTTGGAATCAAATTCATAATGAACATTGATTCAAAAGTATGTAGTTGTTGAGGCCAACTGCAAAGGAGTTTTGGTGTCATTTTTCATGTGCTGTTTAAATACGAGTCTGTGTTTCCTATAAATTCCATCTGAAGGCATTTTTTTTTGGCCCATCAGCGGCTGAGCGGTAATGTCGCTGAACACTGGTAGTTTGGTCCGAGGTTCGAATCCCGCAAACGGGCTGGCTGCATGGGTGTTATCGTGGTTTTCCCCATGTGTAACATGTATACGAGCCAGTTTCCCCTAAAAAGTCCTCCACGAAGGCATCTCTCCCTTAAGGCAGATAGCCCTCGAGTGCTTCGCCGTAATCTAATAAACTAAACTGAAGGCATTTTTATGTTAGTAGCTACCCTTCAGGTGCATTCTCAATAATTAATCTTCTGTCTTCAGTTTTCTACTTATATGCAAGTATGTCCTGTGATATGTTTTTGATATATATTTAAGATTTTATTGTAAACTTAATAAAATTTTCATCTAGTTTTAGAAAGCGAATTATGACTGCATTAAAAGTAAAAAATTTGTGCTATGTGAAACAAAGTGAGTGTGAATCCCTTTTAAGGATGTAATCATAATTCAAGCTAAACATCTGTAATCCTGAATTGCATGTCTGTGAAAATAGCAGCCAGTGTTTCCTATTGCCAAAGCAATTATCTTTAAATTCATTAGCTGTAAAGGAAAAGCACACAAGAAACTGGGAGCTGAATAGTTTCTGTGCTCGAAGAACTGTTCATGAATTTTATATTAAGGGAAAAAAAATTTCCATCCCTTTCAAAGTTGCTGCTTCTGTGCTGTAAGAAAAGATTGATTTTAAATGGAAAAGAGAAACATTAAAAAATGTACTGCATAGTATGGGATCTGTATGGAGAAAAAGCCAAAGCAAGAGAAAAGTTTTAATTGAATAAAGTGACATTGTATTAAAACAAACGCAGTATCTTAGAAAAGTGAGGTAATTTCGTCGTGAAAGAAGACCTCTCATTTACTTGGATGAAACCTGGGTGGATAGTAACATAACATTTTCAAAGTGTTGGCAATCGGAAGCAGTTTTTGACGTTGTGCTGAGCGGCAATGCATTGAAAAGAATTATTGTTTTATGTGCTGAAGGAGATATGGGATTTTTACCTGATACGTCTCTAGTATATGAAGCAAATACCACATCTGGGGCACTAGGCACTATCTCGGATAAATGAATTCTACTGTTTTTGAAAAGTGGACTTCCGAAAAACTCATTCTGAATCTTCCACCAAATGCTGTATTGATTCTAGACAATGCCTCTTACCACACTGTTCAAGTAAATAAATGTCCAACTATGGCAAGCTGAGAAGAAGAAATGATCCATTGGTTACTTAACAAAAATGTGCAATTCTCTCCAGTTTGAAGGAAAGTGTAGTTAATGGAGCTTGTGAAATAAAATGCTCCTAAAGAAAAGTCTCATAAATTTGATTCAATGCTCGAAAAACATGGTTTTATGGCTCTACGTGTGCCCCCATACCACTGCGACATTAGTGTAATTGAATTCGTATGGGGTGAAATAAAGCAATTTGTTCAGAACTGCAACACAACTGGAGACATTGAAATGAATAAATTATTAAAAATTGCAAAAGAAGCTCTTGAAAGCGTAACGATAGAAAAATAGAAGTGCTGCACTCGTGTATAAAATAACTACAGGGAAAAAGATGGTTTGATTGAAGATTTATGCGAATCTTTGATTATTCCCTCCGATGAAGAGGAAGACAACTTGGATATGTGTAGTGATTGTGATACAGAATAATAAGTACTGAGGTAAGAAATTTCGTTTTTTAGCTCCCCAGTACATGTAATACTGCATATAGCTTTCAGCGCAAAAATCGAAGTGATGTAATATTTATTTATTATAATATAGTTATTATAATTACTATAATCACTCAATAAATATAATAATTATTTATCACTGTATAATCATTATAATTAATTATTAGGAAATTTTTTTCAGTGTGTAATAAGGCAAATAGATCGTAGCTCGAAGATAAAAAAGATAAACTAATTATCAATTACAACATAATAATTATTATTGCCATATAATTATTATAATTAATTTTAATAATGAAATTATTAGAATTAATTGTAATAATAATATAATAATGAAAATCATAAATAAAAAATAATAATTGAATAATTATAATTAAGATTTACTTATTTTTTTTTTTATAAAATAATGTTATACTGCAAAACAAATTTTAGAAAACACTTGTATTTTGAAGAATATATAAATAAATGCTTTAAGAATATAAAAATATAAATGCTTAATATTAAACCCAATTTAATAAAATAGCTAATAATAAATGATGATCAGCATATCAGCTTGGATTACTTAAAAGTAATTTTGTCTTCTTATGTCTGTGCCCTTTGAATGCTGTGGAAATTACAGGGAAAACGTAAAACAGAAAAAATCCCTACGACATGATTCCACCCACCTCATTTTAAGAATAAATCGGTCCAAATGGCACATGCATGTTTGTTCTCTATGTTGCAATAGTGATTCTGTGATAACCTATGATGTCGTCAAAAAGTATTTCTATGTCAACCCAGGTATGTGCATAGCATGCCTCTGTTTTGACTGGTGTACGATGCTTAAGCAGCATAAAACCGATTTTGTGCAATCCTGATGTTTTTTAAGTGAAAACAGAATACTATGTATATGGAGAGAATAACAGCTTAGGAATGTTATTGCTAATGTTCCTTGGTTTTTGAATTTTATTGATTTATAACTCTTGTATGGAATTCTTAGCATGGCAGCATTTTGAAAATTGCTGTTTCGTTTTAAAAGTTAGCTTGTTAAAAAATTGGTCACCAATAAGATCATGACTTTCTAGTGAGAGGTGTGCCTGCGCACACAGTTAATTGGAAAGTACTTTTACAAACTAATAAAACTTCAAGTTCTGCCATTATTCTGTTTGATATTTATGCTCCATGTGCTAGTTTATGGCATGAAGACTTTTAAAAAGAGTAACTTTTTTAGAGTTGCAGTTCATCTTAAAAGTACAATATTGAAAATTATAAAGCCCTGAATTTTTCTAGATGGGGTTTTTTTTATAGCAGTATGTAGTGATCATGATTGATGCTTAATGTTATGGTTTGCAAGTGTTCAAAATGAGTAACAAATTGCCACAGAAATTATGTTCATTACTGGAGGCAACTGACTACTCATGATATTGGGACCAGGTTCAAATCCCCTACTGTACATACAATGACCTTGAAGGATGGATCTGACAGCTTAAAAGCCTACACAAGAACTCTAAAAGCTCTTTTAAGGAAAAAGATACAAGAGCTCTGAATTCTGTTGTAAGATATATCCTTGTTAAAAATTTGGGTAGAACTTGGGCAAGTTACATAATTTTAATTAAACTTTGCTTGAAAAATGCATCAAATTCCAGTGAACTAGCATTTGATAATATATTATGTGCAGAAGTTGTTAGTGAAAAAAAGTTATTTGTACATATTATTAATAATTACTTAAGTAAATTATTAACTCAGCAGCTATACTTGTTCAGAATTTTTTGGGTAAAGATATTCCATATTTGATTCTTTTAAAGCATATATTCATCTCTAAATTGTGTAAATCTTTCATATTAGTTACAATAAGCTGCATGTATATCAGTAATTTATTCTGTTAATTATGCGCATTCCATTTAGTCAAGTGTATATAGCTGATTTAAATGGTACTTATATATTAGTGCTGGCACCTTGCTAAAATTTTCAGAATACTTCAAACTTTGGCAACCATGCACATAACAATTTATTAGTTTTTACAAAAACTGTCATCATTTTTGTATTGTTATATTTGCTGAATTCCAAGTCCCAATAGTTTTTAAAGGCAGACTGGGAAATTGTTATATTTTATTATCTCAAATTTGAGTTTTGAAATGTTCATTTGTAGGATTCCCATGCAGTGAAAGAAATTGTGGTAACATTTCTGCATGAAAACAGTTGCTGTGAAATCCCTAATTTTAAAGCAATAATCCCAAAGTGTCCAACAAAACATTACTTGAAAAGAAATCTTACTGATTATGTTTAATGTAAATGTTAGTAAAATGTAAAATAAACATGTAATAATATAGATTTTAACAAAAATGTATATACATAAAAAAGCAAATTTAAAGTTAAAATAATGTGCAAACATATAAAAGAATTAATTTCGAACTAATTTACAATATCATTTAAATTCAGATTGCATAAGTAAATCAAGTGCAAAACCAAAACATGAAAATAAATTCACCAATTTAGTAACTTAAAATTAATCTAAAAAATTTTTAAAAATTCATAAGTGAATGACTGTTGAGCAGGCAAGAGACAGACTTATCAAGGGGAAGTTGCTTCCTAACTAACTCTTCAATCATTCAATTCATGTTTCGTCATTCATGCAAGCAAGGGTAAAAGTCAAAACCAAAAGTAGTGAAGAAAGTCCAAAAAGAAATACCAATTAAGTGGTACCTTGAGTAATTAGCAATTAAAATTAAATGTATAAAGGAAAATATTAATAATGAAGTATTTTGAGAAGTAAGTTTAGTATTAAATTAAACTTAAAAAAAAATTTTTTTTTATTCACTTATGCATTTTAAAAAATTTTTTAGATTAATTTTAATTTGCTAAATTGGTGAATTTATTTTCATGTTTTGGTTTTGCACTTGATTTACTTATGCAATCTGAATTTAAATGATATTGTAAATTAGTTCAAAAATTAATTCTTTTATATGTTTGCACATTATTTTAACTTTAAATTTGCTTTTTTACGTATATCCATTTTTGTTAAAATTTAAATTTCATTCCTTGCAGCAATGGTGCAAAGAATTAATTAAATTTGTATTTATTCAATTTATTCTTGTGAAACATGTAATAATATATGTGCAATGTAATAAATGTTCACAGTTTTAAGTCTTCATCTTTGTTCTTTCTTTAAAACATTGCCAAATTGCAGTAAGGTGGTATGTGCTAATACTTAAACTTTCTACATTTATTAGTAAATTATTATTCTGTTATGTTTATTTCAACTTCTTATTTTAGCTCTTGTTCCTGGGTTGGTGTTCTGCTCCTATTGGAAAAAATGGAGCTTACTACTTGTACAAACTATTTTTAGAACCGTTTATTCATCTATATGGTCCTCATGTTGAATTTGCATTGATGGAAGCATATAGATCAGTACAAAGTTTTTCAAGTCTTTTTCCATTTTAGTGAGGTAAATTCTTTTAATTCTGTAAGTCTAGAATTTGTGTTAAAATTTCGGTACTTTTCCATTTTGCCGGCGCAAGCGATAAAGTCGCCAATAATAGTACAACCAATGAAACGGAATATTCTCGCTGGTAACCTTTTATTGCCACATTTTCAAAACAAGTTGCAGCTTTTTCTTATCAGATTGATTGTTTCTGTCAATACTGGCATACTATAATTACATAGAATTTTTATCAGATAGTTCAGTTTTATGTCTAAGGCCATTTTCGGTAATTAAGTCAATTAGGATGCAATCACAGCTCTTACCCGAAGCCGAAAATATAGAAAAGGTAAAGTCAAGGGTTAAATTCATCAATTCTAATAAGGATACATTAGCGAAGTAAAGCACTGCAGTTTTACATAATTTCTGAGTAAGCTATTCGTACGCATTGAAATATTTCTTGCATTTAAACTTGTGTTCCAAATTAAGATTTAACTTGAAATTAATGTAGATAATTACTGAGAGCATTAGATTTTTGTAGAGTAGTTTACGTGAGATGAGACTGCTTGGGGTCACGTGATATAAAACCGGCGAATTAGGATGTTGAACCATTGAAAGCATAGTAAATTCTTAAATTAATGTCTTTTTACAAATTTATTGTCTTTATTTATTGGCTTTTTATAAAGATTTAAGCGATATTAAAATGTTTATGAAGAATTAAAAAATTCTTAGAACTAAATTTTTTTAAATATTTTTTATGTGTATACTGTATGTTGTCGCCAATAAAGTCTGCTTGGCGAGATTTGCGCCGGCGAAACGGAAAAGTACCAAAATTTCATATTTTATTGTAAATAAAATATGAAATCTATTGTGATGTTGTTTGTGCCTTCTGTCACTTATGTAAATTTAGAGTAAGTTTGAATAATGGGAATCGCTGAGATTGTAATAGAAGTAATTATAGAAAATCCTATTTACGTCTTATAGTCAAAACTTCAATATCTAGTGACTGTAAACTCTGCTAGCATTATCAGCTGTTTTCCTTACCTTTCTGACTTAATCCTGGTTATTATTTTGTTCAGTATATTATCATTATTACTGGTGTTATATCAAAATCATTGTTTTAATATCTCCATTTCACTCTTTCCTTGAGACTGACCATCTGTCATTAAACCAATAGACATAAACTTTTCACATGTTGAAATGTAAGTAACTATATTAAAATCAGTGCAACATTAAGACCATCATAGAATTCAAATATTTTCATTCATATAAAATGTGTAGTGTGAAACATTAAAGAGTCATGAGAGGACATGTCAGCAGACATTTTTTAAAATGCTTAGCATAATGCATAGCCAGCTTTTATATTTCATGATGATCATAGCCAGAACATAATGTAAAATTAAAGTATGAGAGTCTTAAAGAAGGGCAACAGGAAATGTGTAAAAATAAATTAATAATTAAAATTTAATGTAAAGATGAAATATATTTTAGAATTTGACTTTTTTTGCTAACATCAAAGTGTTTGTAGACATTAAACAACTTATCACTAAGTATAGAAGTAAAAACAGAAACTTGCAAATTCCGTAAAAGACCCTATATTTTAAATTAAATAGGATGAACAGAAGGCACTCCTGGTGCTTACAAGTGTGCCAGCACTTATGGTTAGAAACTAAAAGTAGTAAGTTAAATATTAAAGCTAAACTGAAATAAATAATAGCCAAAGGCTACACAGATTTTAATGCTAAGGTGGCTCAGAACTTCACCATCATGAATTAGACTATCAGCAATTGTAATACAAGGGTAAAGACAGTAACTCATGTCTAGAATAACGCTCTAACAATCTTCACAAAATGTCGCTATAAATAGTCATGAACTCCTTTGCATTCTGACGGAAAACTAGAAAGAGAAAAGTGATAGTAGAGATTCCAAACATAAAATAAGTGATTATTCAAATTAAAGAAATCTCACAATATATGTACAAGTTAAATGGTTGACAAATAGTAAAGTAATAAATTAAAAAACTGAGTCTCCTCTTATTTGGGGCACTGGCTGTAATTGCATTTTCACTGAAAACCTGAGATGTGCTAGAGCTTGGCTGCAGTTGAATTAAAACCGTAGTGATAGCCACACATTTTAAATCTTATATTACAAGTTAAAAATTTTCTGATTTGTGGAATAATGCAAAGAATATCCAATTTGAGGATCATATAACTCAAGTTTTCCACTGTGATGACAGTTTCTTAATCATCAGTCATTGAATGAGTTATGAAATCTGTGGTATGTTTATAAATCTAGAAAATATTAGCACAAATAGTGAAGAAAGTTATAAAGCTGTTGAGAATAAAAAGATTTTAGTTGACTATTTAATGAGAATTCTCGGCGTATGAGTAGCAGGACTTGAACAACTGAACTTTGTAATTGAACAAGATATTATAGCTCTATAAAAACCTAGGAGACAGAATGAATGAAATTTCTTAACCCCTTCGCGTCGACTGTCACGTATACGTGCCAGAAACGAACACACTTATCTACCGGCCGACACGCAATGCCAGAGCATTGTTGCATTTTCTACCGACTGTCACGTATTTGTGCCAGTACCTTGGAACGTTTTTCAAACTATAATTTCTGCCACAAGATGGCACTGTATGCCCATTTAGTTTCAGATACATGTACATTAGACCTTCTACTCGAAATGAAAGAAGCATGACTCACATACAAGTGTTTTTTTGATTAATAACACAACCGGGGAACTAAATGTTTCCGAATGGCGTGATTTATGACGTCTCTTTAAATCGCACATTATTCGCACGTGGTAGTTGTTTTTATTGTAAGTAGAAGTTTTATATGCGCTAAAGGCGTTGAGTATTTCGGTTTACAGTTCAGTTTTTTAGAAAAATTAGATCTTGTTAGACGTGAATTCTTTCTGTTTTTACCGTTTCAATGTCGAAGTGTCGAACATGTTTAACAAAGCATAAAATAGCAGAAATGATGCAAAATATTTCAGATATTGATTCTGAAATTCTGATATTGATTCTGAAAGATTAACTGAAAGACATTTTCCAAAACTTTGTTCAGAAGAGACTGATAAGAAAATGAGATGACGATGCTTTGTTTGTTCACATTCCCAGAAAAATCCTCCAAAACGGCAAATGAGTTATTACGAGTTCAAGGAATGTAACATAGGACTGTGTGTAGATCCCTGTTTTAAAATTTTTTCATACGAAAAGAGAATTTTTAAGTAATATATTTAGTTTTCAGATGTATAATGTTAAAAGTCATAAAATGGTGAGTAATTAAAATAAAATGTGTAAAATATGCATTTAAAAAAGAAATAAGGTAATTAAAGTAATGTATATAAATATTTATAAAGCATAAGCCGTTTAAATAAATACTCTATAGAGCATTATTAAACAAAGCGTTGATACTTCGGAAATTTCATGGATTTAGGCTTAGTAAAAAAAGCCGCCGGCCCTGGAGAGACGCTTGCGGAAGACACTGCCGGCCTTCACGATAAGCGCGCGTTTTCGCTACCCGGCTTGAAGGGGTTAAAGAACCTATGTTAAAAGAAACATTTCATAAGACAGATGTCAGAATTGAGCTTATTCTTTGTTTTTTTGTTAAAAGTCTTAAATCTATTTCACAGTTAACCATGTTATATTTTTAATTCTATAATTTCTACATGTCATCTTGCTCAGTTGAAATTAATGATTTGAAATCTGAAAATATCAGAAATCACCTATGAAGTGATGATTTGAGATCGTGGACTCTACTGTATTTTTCTCAAAATTTTCCTCCAAAAGTGTTGCATTATATGATTTCAGTTAAAGTAAATCGTGTTTATGGTTGGTGTCTTAAACATAAGGATCCTGGCCTACACATCAGTTATCTAGAAATTTTTAAGAATACTTTCCTAAGATGAATTGTTTCTTATAAAAATTCAAGTGTTATATCAGTTAAAAAATTTGTTTATAAAATGTAAAAATAAACTAGGTATGTTTTCTGCATAGCTGTTAGCATACACCTGTTTTTTTTTTTTTTTTTTTACTTTCTTTTGTAGACTGCATTTTAATTTTGCGTAATAATTATAAAATTTTGTGTAATTTTATACTGCTGTGTATTTTATTTCATATATTGGGAAAGCTGGTTATTAAAGAAATCACCAGATTAATTTTCTTTGAATATATATAGAGATCATTTCATTACTGTGCTTATGCAAGAAAATTCTCACTTTCATAAATTAAGCTTCTGAATGGTATTATCTAGCTATGAGATCTGTCATTATTAACTGTATACGTAAAAAACATTTTACTGTTTTATATTCTTTAACATGTAAACCACCAAATTTGTTTTTTTTTTTTTTTTTTTCAGTCTGAGGTCAGTGTTTAACATGATTATCTGCATCTAATTCTAATAATCTAAAGGCTGAGGATTTATAAAAACAATAACAACAATAATAATAAAATTGTAGAAATTTAAATAATAAATATTGCATAGATGCAACACTTCTTGAGCAAATCTGAAAAGCATTATTACTCAATAATTAATTTTCAATAATCAAAAGTATCTAGCATACTACAGAGTTAGATTGCAGAAATATGGAAATGAGTTTGAGCATGTGGAAATATATCCATGTTGCTGAAAACTTCAGGGAATATCTTTTGTCAGCTGAAATTGTTCTTATTTTAACCCTACGCATATGGTGTGATTTTGATTCTTAAATATGGGGTGCCTTTTTTTTTTATATTCTGTATCTTCATATATTACTATTTACATCTTTATAAAAACAATAGTATAATGCAGAAATTTTAATAGTTTTTAATTTTAAAATACATATTTACACATGCTATTTTCATGCGACCCGTATTGAGACGGATTTCGTATGCCGTGGAAATCACGGGTGCCGTACGCTGAGGGTTAATATATGACTTGAAGTTATGATAAATGTATGTGTGTTGATTGGTTAAGTAAAATACTTTGTAGCTGCTTTATTATTTTGTATGTGAATCATATCTTTGAATTTTGTTACACGGCTTTTATTGTATTGTATTGTTATGTATTGTAAACTAGAGCACACCACTAGTTTTTTTTGATGGAATACTGTTTATTTTATTCTCAAGATTTATATTATTAATGTATGTATTTAAAAAAATTGTCAAAATAAAACTCAGATCAGTTTGAGACCTAGTATTGAATGATGGAGAAGAAGGCTGGAAGTTTGACCTCTTATTAAGTCTTGTTGAATGGGCTGGTTGCATTGATATTTGTGTGATTTTTTTTTTCCCATATGTAACATAATTGCAAACCAGTTTCACTAAACAAAGTCTATCACAAATGTGTCCATTTTCTTAGAAGATATTCATTGCATATTCTGCCATATAAGGAAATGGTTCATATTCAGGTGACTTGCCTGATTTCACCACAAAAATCTATTGTTCAATCAAGCATGATATATCAATACAGCCGAAATGGAAATCTTCAGTTTGATCATTATTCCTAAATTATTGAGTGCTTAACATATGCATATTGTACACAAATAGACTCAAATATTTTTTCCTACTCATTTGCCTTCCCTTAATAGGTGATTCCAAGTATGAGAAAAGTAAATGTGAAAAATTAAGTATTTTCAGTTACAATATTATTGCAGTAAACTTATTCAGTATTTTGCTCCAAGTTTCTTTATTTCTGTATAAAAATAATTTATATTTTTTTGTTTGTTAATGAGTTTGTTATCCATATTAAGTTTATATAGCTGCTGACGGAAGAATTAAAATATTAATTTTGTTTGTTTTGCTTTCTTGAACTAAATGTACTTTTTCATGTTTTAGAGGAGTCCTGACAACTGTTGTGCATCAAGTCTGCCAATCATACCTAGTCTTCAGCATGTACTGTATACATATTTCATGTGATAAACATGTTTTTCATTAATTTTGTAATAAATGGTGAAAAACTAATTTTGTACTCTTTACTGTATAATTAATTATCAATAGTAGTTACATCTGCTGGTGATAGAAGTCATAAAAATTTGAGGATTTATAATGTTAGAATTCCTCCAAACTAAAAAGTGATATGTTTAAATTTAGGCAAAATCTGAATGTCAGTTTTGAAGTTACTATACACTTTGAAAAAGTCGGGCACAGTTTTCTGTTCAGACTGTTAGACAGAATTGTGCTTTAGGAATCCAAAACAATATCATGATGCATTTGGCCTGAGAAAAAAATTGAAGTATATGTCTTCCATCATGATAAAAATTCTTATTAATTTTTAAGAATTATCATATATAGTTTATATATCTTAGAAAGTAATAAAACTGATTAAAGTATTCAGTAGTAAATTTTTAGAAAAGCAGTAATGAACCTTTTTTTTAGGATAAGATTTTTACCATAGTCAAACTGTCATAACTAATTTCAAGGGACTGAAAGTTTGGTTTGCTGTATATGATTTTATAAGAAAAATGGATTATCTCATAGCAAAGTGAACAGGTAAAATTTCTAACAAAAAAAAAAAAAAAAAAAACGCATTAGCATTATGACAGCTCCCAAAAGTGAAGAATTAATTATAAAACCAGATTAAATAATATTTAAAATATTAAAAGTAATGAGAATCTGATGAAAGGAAATAAGTTTAACATTCAGAACAGAAAATGAACTCAAAATTATTAACAATTAAAATAAATTAATAAATAAAAATAAACCGTATATTCATTAGTATAACAGCATTAACAATCCAAATGTGAGGAAGAACCTAACAATGTGATCAAATTAACTATAAATATAACAGCTTAAATTTAACTGAGAATTAATTAAAAGCAGAAGTAGAGATTTAAGCAATGGAAAATTAGCAGCATGGTATTAATATTTTCGTCAAAACTAATATTATAATAACACCACTAGGAACCAAATTACAGGTAAGTTACCGACCTAACAGAGACTGAGTTTGTGATGACATCAGAGGTTATGTAAGTTGATATACTTATGACTTTATAAAAACCATGTGATCTCTGACGTTACGTGCTACTTTTTCATTCTTCTGCCACTTTAGCTCAAAAATTTCTGATAACAGTGATCTGGAGTCGCGAAAAGAACTCGAAGATCAAAAGTCATGAATGAAAAAAATTATTTGTCTGTCATATCATGTTAGATGGGAAACAAATTTTCCTGCAGTTTTATAAACTTGAAGTCTAGAATATTTAAAATTATTAAATTTCATTCACGATAAAAATTTGAATTGTATTTCCATTTGAAACTAATCCAAAACATTAACAGGTTGTATTTGAAACTAATCCATAACAATAACTAAATAATCTGTAATAACAACTGTTCGTAAAATCGTGGAATTGAAGCTAGAAACACATTTAATTGAACGAGTTTTTACCGTCTCTATTGGAAGGGGGGGTTAGATAATTTAAGCAAGAAAGAAATTAGTATTCAGTATTAATTTCATGCTGATTTTTGCAAGCAGTAAATGGAAGTTAACTAAAATAATAAGTTAGCTTCATATTCATTTATTGACTTCGACAAAAGAGAGGAAAAAGCTGTTACAGGCTGCTGAAAGATTCATTCATTTTCAAAACGCTGTGTATTCAAAAGTATGAAACTTGCAAGTAGTAGTGAGATGTGAGAATAATCGAAACCTCACTAAGTTTTCTGTACACTCTGCGAGTGTTCTATTTCTATTCACTCTAAAATGCACCCCCCCCCGGATCACATGCCCAGGCAGTAGCTGAACTCTTTCCACACATTTTGTAGCATCATCCTATCAATGGTCATCACTGCGGCATTTCCCAGGTCTAATGTTTTTTTGGGGTAGTGTGGGGGGTACATAAAACAAAATCCTTAATATTTCCCTTAAGAAAGGATTCACAAGGCGTTAAATCAAGTGACCTGGAGGAGACCAAGAGAAAAGCGAAGCCATCCTCACCAACACTGCCAATCCAGCGACGTGGAACTTCAATGTTTCAGGCATCTACGAACTTCAACGTTCCAATGAGGGAGTGGCAGTCCTGTTGGAGGACAAAATCCCTGAATCAACAGCCTGTTGCAGAAACAACCACAACTGCAGCATATCCAGGTAACCTACACCTGTCAGTTTTCTCACAGAAAAAACGAATTTGCGATCATTTTCAAACAACACTTGTATATTTGTGCGTATAATACTTTTGAATATAGTATAAAGTTTTGAAAACGAATGGATTATATCTTAATTCTTCGTTCACAAAGACTTAAGTGATTTTTTTCCCTTGTTAGGAATTAGCTTTGAAGTGCCATATATTTTGGAAATAAAATGGAGTTAGCATGCATAATAATCATTTGTAAGTGTTTATGATGGCATATGAATATTTCATTTGCTACCTCCATCTGTCTTCAAAATATTCAACAGTGCCAAGCATGATAGGAGAAAAATCATCTAAGATCTATCATTTTTCATGAAAAACAGTTGTAAACATACAGTGTAAGTGTTATAATTGCATTTAGGAAACATTATATCTTAGTCGAGCTGTATCGGCAGCTCTATATTTTGTGTAATACGAGATATTCAAACTGTGTGTTTCCAGTTTTTAAGTGGAAAATTGGCTTCTCATCATAATTTTTTAACGGTGTAAATAAAGCAGGGATGAAACAAGCAAATGCCGTTAAATTTCCTGTTCTTGAGAAAGGTTCAAATACGAAAATTGATAAATGATGAAATATTATATAATATATTCCTGGCTGTTAAACTGAACCACTATGGAGGAGGTGCAGAATAAACCACAGTTTATATGAAAGGTAGAGCATGCTCGGATATGCAAATGGTGATGGCATGCTCTTATGTCATGAAATGCTAATTATTCGCCAGTGAGCTTGCATGCCATGAGGACAAACGGGAAAGATTAATGACATCTCGAAGAAGTATAAAAAGAAAGATTGAAATGCTGATTTTTTAATCGAAAATCTATTTTACTTGCTGCAGGTCATGTTATGACTTCTATAACCAATCAAGTTTTTATACCCGCTTATAAATATTCAATGCCTTATATACAAAGTTTTATACCTGCTTAAGCAAGTACGAGAGTTCACCCTTATTTTGCTCTCCGCATTAGGCAGGAGAACGTGCTTGCAACCTCTCAGAGGAATAATTTATACAAACTCAGCTACACGGCACGTCCCGGGTGCCCCATTTTCAGGGGTACGGATTAAAATTTCCAGGTACTATAGAGCCTACTCGACTAAGTCCCTGGGGGTCTAGTATTTGTCTCTCTGACACACCACGAAAGATGTGAAACTTATGAAACCGATGAAGAGACTGGTCGTCACGCTACTCAATCAGATGGCCGAAGCCGCTAACTTCCGGCACAACAGAATGCCCTTGTGGATAGTAAGAATTGGGGTGCGTATTTTATGCTCCCAGGGCCCAGACTGTCAAGAGTATAGTACTGAGGCAGTATACACGCCCGAGAGGAGTTATGTCTTGTGTAATAACAATAATATTGGCTTCCCTGCCTCGTGAGACTTAACCACATTCAGGTCCACTCCCCCTTAGGAGAAGTCGCAGAAGTTCAACCTCCGCTATTGCTATTCCAGGAGAGCGGCGCACCACCTGGGATTTCCCAGGCAGCACTGGTCGTTTGATTTGATACATACCCGTCGCAGTGGGACATTACCCAGCGAACCAGGAGGCACTACCCCCGGCTACTAGTGTCGTACCGCTCAGGACATGTCAGACCCCAAGGCCGGCTAATAAGTGACCTTTCTCAGGGCCTTCAGAACCACCAAGTTCATAAATTTTATGCCCCCGTCGTGGTCAAGACTGCTTAGGTACAGATCCTAGCCAGTAGCTTTGCAGAATTCTCTACGTCAACCCTCCCGGGGGATGTCTTGTGTATGAAGAAGGAACTAATACCAGCACCTCTCATAATTCGATCGCGAGATGATTGTGACTTACCCGATCTATAGTAGCGCTCATCTGCTCTTAGCACTGCTCGAGATCAGATGACTTTTATGAAAATCTGCAGTCGATGGGTCCAGGAAGGTTACACAGAGCGACGTGAAAGCTCTAAACCGGAACTTCATTCATCAGTACCTGAACATCTTGGTTACATTCGGTACCCTGGGTCAGAAAAGTGGATGTGTTGCACAATGTCAAATATTAGAATGTACGTTGAGACGACTTCTGCAAGATCACGGATTCCGCGCTAGGCGATCATTGCTTCGACTTCCTTTAACACTATAATACAGGAATGAGCGCCTTCAGTGGTGCGTTCATCGATTCATATAGTTGCATAAAGGGTGCGATATCTTTTCTTCTGACGAATTCCAATTTTCCATGCAACGTCATTTATTCATTAGGCCGTATCTATGAGCGCAGGCAACTAACACTGGAAGCGTCCTTTCTTCATCGTCATGCCGGGTCAACATTTGGATGGATTTTATGGGGTATTATTGTGTACACGTTCCTTTCAACTCTAATCCGCATATCCAGTACCTTGATCAGCCACTATTACCAAGGTTTCACTTCTCGTAACTGGGCCTTATATTCGTGCCTCTGTTCACCTCTTCTTTCATCAGGATAATACGATTACGCAGGTTGCTCAAGACTGTGGGATTTTTAACGCACAAGCTCTGACTTCTACCTTTGCCAGTTATACCAAAGACCAGGGTTCGAATCTCGGAGAAAGCATGAATGTGAATTGTCTGTCCCTTTACAGGAGGTAACGGTGCCCGTCTATTAGGTGCCTCCATAAATAAAATGACCACCGCTTTTGACCTTAATAATGACCAAAGCCTAAAATAGCTAGTGCCCGCCATAAAAAATAAATAAAAACCTTAGCCAGCGAGTTCTTCTGATCTCTGACCAATTAAAAAAATCTGGTCAATAATTGATGAACTGAGGCATAGAATTGAAGCCGTAGGGACTGCAGTACACGAAGCTGTCATCTAAAGTACGTTCCACTAAAAGCCTAATCATATAACAACTG